CAGACAGAATAAAATGAATAAGACACAAGAAATACAAATTACTACTGAAATTCAGTAGTAAATTAAAAGGTTTCCAATCCTTACTGAAGCCAATTGAGAGTTTTAGGAGCCCTGATGCATTCTGGGAGTTAACTCCACAGGTGGGGTGCGTAAAAGCTGAAGGCTGCCTCACCATGTTTGGTTCTGATTGGGTACAGAAGGTAGACGTGACCCTGATGGAAATTATGTGCATTATGGGTGAACTGATCTCCAAAGTGGAATGTTTTTAATTGATTTCGGTGCCTTACAAAAGGTTTAAGGAGACAAATTAAAGTTTGGACGGGACTTAGATTGACTCAGATTGTGCTTCACTAAACTTGTTTGGTCTTCATTCAGGCCATGTGATACAAATCAAATTCAAAGCATCAGAAGTAAGCTGACTTCTGAAATTGTATCTAAACTTTCAAGAGCCATGGGACCCTCTAAGCAGCCAACTTGAACTCGAAAATGAGTTCAAGGAGGATATACACCAGCAACGATATCACAGAACTATTGTAACTTCCCATAATTCTGGGAGGGTGATAAGGCCTTCTCCAGACATTTTGAGGCATCAGTCTAAATTAATAGGTAATTAGTACTTTATTAGTTTGGAGAATCCTATGATTTTTGACCCAGATAAAGTTGGCAATGGACCACAGGCCAGTTTCCAGCAAAGTGAGAAAACCTCATTTCAAACTGACCTGTCTGATGGAAAAGTTAGCAGCTACAGAAAACCTAAATACAGAGGTTGTTTGACATGTTTTTGATGAAACACAATCTGAAAAACCTAAAAAACCACAGCATATTTTAAGGAACAACAAACAAATCACAGTGCAGCTTTACCTCTCAAACACACAAAGTGTTGGCTGGAACAGTACAAGAATTCCAGGACTAATGATATCAACAAAAGGTAATTAGAATCAGCTGTTTGCAAAACTGGACTCGAGTGGAAGTGTCTGTTACTTGCATGAATAATGCCTCAAAGAAAAGCAAAGAGCTTGCAGAGAAAGTCAACAGAAAGACATAGATTAAAGGCCATGTTTGTGAGTCTATCTTTTGGAAATGTTTAGTATAGTAGGCAGCTGCTCTGCACAGCTCCAGTAAAGAAAAATGAACTCATTAATGTGGAGAAAACAAAGCATGATCTAAACTCTGCCACTCAGCAACAGGGGCATCATGCTCTGCTAACACGGGGCTGAGCTGCTCGATAGGTTGGCGTCACAGACAGGAAAATGCGTTTCCAATAAAAGGGCACATCAGCGTGCAGTCCATGTGACTGACTGTGCTCTCGATCTCTTAAATTTCACCCACATTTGCCTCCTCCCCATATTCTGGCTTCATGCACTATCTCCGCGGTCCATAGTTTATTCAGAGTTCAGCATTAAGAGTCTGTAATCTCATTTGTTATTACATTTTTTACCTCCACAAAGGCTTCATTCAGTCCACCTCTGATATACTGTGAGGCCATTGTCCTTAGAAGAGGAGAAGGATGAGCATGCTCATGCCAGAACGGTGATATTAGTTGGGAGATTCCCCTCAGAGCTGACGGTAGCCAAGTATCTAAATTAAAACTTTGGCTTCTTTGTTTATATGTGAGAGTAATCTTTTGTAACATCAGTCAAGGATGTTAAAAGGAAGTGTTTGTACTTACTTCACTCCTCCTTTGCTCTTTGGCTTAAACTCTATTTGATAGAGTTTTTCCAAAAAAGGAGACATTTTGCGCATATGTTAAAGTGGGGGGATTTTTAAGCTTGTCCTGGTCTGAGTGTTCTGTGGGCCCTGGCAGGCCAAGGCCAGCCATATACTCCAGATTTCCAGACATCTTCTAAGACCTTTATAGCATACCTTCCACATTCTCTCATGTCTTTCCTATGTCTAATTAATGCTAACACTCTGACTTTGATGGGAAAAAACTTAAAAGAGGGGTTAAGATCATGGTGAACTCTCTTTTTTCTGCCTGTAACTATGTGCATGTGTATATAAGTAGTGATTTTCACGTGTCAAGAGGGCCGGTGCGGTTTGTGGGACTCCTTTTTTCTTCTAATTTCATCCAGGAAATAGGACATACTGTAAGAGCAGCAGTGTGTGTTGGATTCCTACATAAACTGTACACCGATGATTTACCAGAGCCCTCAGAGGTGGTCTGATTGGGTTTGGTACTGGAGATTGCAACACTTTACCTCTGTTAGTGTTAGATATCAGTTTGTGCAGGTGTGTGTGGGTGTAAATCAATACTCTCGACTGAGAGAGTAAGCTATGTGAGGTTGTTTAATGATATACCCCTGTCATCACACTGTCTCAATGTTTCTCTTTCCATGAAAATGTGAGTTTATAGCATGACACACCATGAAGATATGAATAGAATTCGCCTCTTTTTCGTCCATCATGGCCCCCTGCTCAGCCTCCTGTGGGGCATTTTCCTTTGAGGCCTCCCACTTCTTTACAGTCTAACCCTGAATCCACTTGACCCCTTTGCAATAGTTCCTTCAAGGAGATCACAAATCACTTGACTTGACTTTGTGACAGAAACACAAGTATGCAGACAAGTACGCGCACTCCTCTCCGCCTCCTCCCTGCACATAAGTCATCTATCCGGCCCCAGTCAGCCCGTGGCCCCGGGGCAGCTAAACTAACCTGCTCTCCCACAAACCGCTGTCGAACCCATGGGTTTCTGTTCAAATATCTGTTGAGTGCCTTTGGTTCCCTTATTAGATCTGATAAACTAGTGTCAAATTTCCACTTAACTCTGATTGAAGCACCAGCACTTCACTTTTGCAGGAGTTATTTTACAGATATCCCTGATTGTGTTTTTTAATTTTGGTGTAATATGTCCAGTGTGTTTTCTTGACTTTCAGGTTGTACATGAGGATATTTCACTATATAAATAAAGCCAGTGACCAGCTTGAATGAAGATATGTTTTTTGTTCTCAGATCTTCTTTTGTTGTTATATTTTTGGGGTGTTTTCACAGGTTGGTGTTCACCCCACACTTTGGCTGTGTTTTATGAGCTGCCTGTACAGTGTGAGCGTCTGATGGTATGCGTGACCACTTCCCAGAAAGGGCCTTTTTAGGTTGACATGTGAATGTGTGTGTGTGTGTTTTTTTTTACAAGGGTCCAGTTCAGCCTGAATGTTTTGAAGGGGGGCCTGACAGCTGCCTTTTACTGCCCCAGGGGGTAATAAACAGAGAGGGAGGGGTAGTTATTTACCCCTTTTATTAGAGCAGGAGGCAGAGGAGGGGACTTTATTGGGGTCACACTGCAACTACACACAGCTGTAGGGCAAGGAGAGAATTAAAGAAGAGATGCTACTTAAGAGTGACTTCTTTATAGAAAAATTCCTCCCTCGGGAGTTCATCCATTTCTAGTGTTTGCCTTTTTGTGTGTGCATGCTCCCCCACTCCATATCGTCTATCTTTTCCTCCCTTCCGAACTTCCTACTTCCTACAGCCTACTCGTTGTTAAGCACATCTGCTGTCAATCGGGTGTGCCCTGTAATCCGACTGGCATTTCCTGCCACTGGAGACGTGCCCACTGACCTGCACTCTGACCATTAGATGATTGGTCGGAGGGTTCAGTGTCCAGTTTGTAAGCTGACCCAAGCTTGTCCTCAAAGGTTGCCATAACAACAGATGTTCCATAATCCATATGAAGATTTTCAGTGGATTTGTCTGGGGATTAAAAGATCAATACCACTGTGTAGTCTGTGTGGTTCCACATACAGATGGGTGACTCATTAAAGGAGGAACCTGAAGGCTTGGCTCCAGGAGGGGAGGGGGTTCATTTTCATGGTGAGTCTTCATCAATAATCTTCTTTGTTCATACAGTATTACAAGCTACACAGCAATACTCTCCCCATCCCGCACGTTGAAACATCAGTGGATGCATCAGAGGCGTATCATTCAAATGCAGCCATTCATGAGTCTAGCGCTCTAAAGCTCAATCATGGCCCTTTCCATGTTGCACATATGCTATATGCTTCTGTTATCTGTCCAAAGTAGACATTTACTCTGCTCTCACCCGTGCTCCTTAATTCTTTACTTTTTAATTTTGGTAAGGAAATTTGCTGAGTTCCGGCCTTTTTCAAATCAGAAAAAAACCCTCAGCTGAGCATTGTGTTGGTCAGCAGGTTTGATCTTTCAGAGTACTGGAGGCAAGCCTGACTGCTGGCTGAAGAGTCATGGAAATTAATTTGAACTTGCAACCTAGAATTAACTCAAGGCAACACAAGTGTGTTTTCTATATTTTAACAGTTGAGGTAAGCCCCAAGCTTTTGTGTGATATTTAAGAAAATATTCATGGACCAGTGACTTTTCAAGCAGCTTAGTTTTTCCCACACTTGTGTCTGGATTAAACCGATAAGATATAACATATGTGAGATTTGCACAGATGTTGTGTGACTAATTTTGTTTCCCACTGGCTGTGTGACACAGCTGTTTCCCTGTAGTTTCCAGTCTTCCCAGTAAACCGCAGATTGTTCCAGATTATTTAAAAGAAAAGATGTTTTCAATTTTCTTTTTGTGTTCCTCCAAACTAATTAATATTGTTTTGAACACCTCAACATTCTGAGCTGTATCTTATCAACTTGGAATATCAAAAGAACGCAAAAGTGCTGAGGCCACTTTTGGCCATTCCTACTTCTGACTTTCTGATTCTGTTTGGCAGGGAAGAGAACAAGATGAGCATATCCTCATGAAGCTGTCTTGAATAATGAGAGCAAAGTGGCACAGAGATGATGGACGGAAAGAGAAGGAGGGGAGGGCTGGCAAGATATAAAGGCTGAGAGGAGAGTGAGAGAGTCTGAAAGGGAGGGGACAAACAAGTTATTCTAGTTGCAGACAGCTGACAGAAAGCCCAAAATAAGATGGTGCCATGTAATGCGCACACATTCTGCAGCTACACTCACAAACCATAAAACATAGGCACCCTTATAAATGCTTTTGTTTTCCAAATAGTTTTCATCGCAAGTAAGCCAAGAATTGACGTCAAGCTGAGTTAATAATGTGGTTTATTGTTTTCCCCGAAGAAAGTGTTGTTTTCCTATGATCATGTTTGATGTAAAAGAGACACCGTGTAAAAAACCAAAACAAATCTAGGGTAGCAATCAATACAAAATGTTGAAATAGAAAAAGTTGGTGATGAGTAGAGCTACAGAAACAGAGACAGACACCTCAAAACTGACCTGATATTGGAAGAGCTCATATGGGTTACACATCTACAAATATAGTCTCACACCTCATCTTCTGGCATACAACTCTCACACACACTGATGCACAAAAAACGCCACATACATGAGCTGTCGGCCAGCAGATCAAGAAAACAGCGCAACACAGGTTTCTATGCTTTGAATTCAGGTTGATAGAACAGAAAGAAAAAACAGGAGCTCTAAAGTGTTTATACGACATGCGAGATACAATTACCACCCTTGTTACATGGTGAAGCTAACTGGAATAAAACTATGGGTTGCTATCTCCCATCACTCAGAAAGGGGAGTTATGGTGATGCAGGGAGTGGAGGGGAGAGCTGCATGAAAGTGAGAAGTGCTCTTGATCATTGTCGCTCGTAGAGTCTGGTGCATATAACATCATCTGCTCTCATGGTCTGAAAAAGGAAAAAATAAGAAAGAGTTACGTGAGCGTTTAACGTGGACACGCACACCCAAGGCCCAAAGTCCTCAGCAACATTTTTCAGCTTTCAAATTGGCACAGTTCTTCTTTTTGCCTGCAGCAGTGTAATCTCACAGTGTGAAGCTGATATGAACAATTACAGTTTGCAAACCTCTCACACACTCAGTTTAACTACTGCCGGCTTCTGGGCAGCCGTTTAGGGTTTGGTGCTTTGGAGCAAGTCCGGAGTCTTAAGTGGGAACTAATTGTCAACCTCAAGCAGGCATCTCCTCATAAAAGCTTCTCCTGCTTACAGGTTGCACAATTAAAAAACAGTTTATTGCATTTAGGGCTGTGATGGATCGTTGTGGGCGTCATCTCCTGCTAAACTGGTTCACAGGCGGGGTTAGAGTTGGCTATCTTCAAAGTTTTGAATTAACTTACTTCAACCCTACTCTAAAGATTCTAAAGGTCACTTGAATCATTAGGGATGGGAAACTTAAAAGTTTATACTTTGTCCCATTCCTTTTCGAACAATTTATTATGGTTTATATATTCATTGTGTTATGTATTCATTGTGTTGTGTTGTATTTACACATCTTATATTGTTTTGTTGTTCGAATAAACTGAACTGAACTTAAAAAAAAAAAGATTTGAAAACGCAACACTCCTTAAATCAGGAAGACACATTTCTTTCAACATCAATTTGGATCAATTATTTCCATTTTTTATATATATTTCATTAGAAAAAAAAAGACAATCAGAAATGAAAAGTAACAGGACAAGTACAGGTTTGTGACCTTTAGGGCTGTAGTGCTATGCATGTGGCAGCAATTTGAGATACTCAAGACTGGGGTAAATTTGCTGTGAAATGATTGGCTTTCACATGCATAGTCTTTTTATCTTAGCAAAGGTTGAGGAACCCAACCTATCTCTTAAAGGAAAAAGATCGCTTATTTTTTTTTCTGTCAAGAAGAGAAACTTATCATGATACATATCTACGTCTTTTCAAAGTTTTAAAGGTTTAACTTAGAAGTCCAGGTGGTTTTTGGGGGAAACCTGGTACATAAGCTGCTGTAATGTGCTGGGTACAAGCCACAAACATTTTCATACTGGTGTCCTGCATTTAGTTGACAGCACATGTGATTTACCAGGATCATTTGGCCATCACTGGTGATCTCTCGGGTCCAGGATGTTTTGGGCCCTTCTTTTTGCAGAGTCTGCTCACAGCTGATCTTGCTATTTGTTTCCCAACGTGGAAAACTCTGTGGGCACAAGAGGAGAAAAACCTTCAGAAACATGTGAATGGTTAGATGTTAAGACATTGATGGGGAGAGAATGGTTGGGCTTCTGTATATAACACAGTAGGGTCTGACCTGTTATGTTTGGAAAGCGCTCTGAAATAACTGTTGTTGTGATTTGGCGCTATATAAATATAATTGTATTGAATTTAATTGAGAGGGAAATGATGAGGAAGCATAATGGAGAACCAACAGAAGATCACTGAGAGGTGATAACTTGTGATGCGCTCATCATTATTACAGCGTAGACCTGACTGGTTGGATGTGTTTGCTTTGGAGACGGCCAAACTGAGGCCATCTATGGGAAAATGGGGAGAGTAACAGGGAGAATTCGGGAGGGAAGAGAGGGCAACAGGGTGGGATAGGGAGCTAATGGGAAGCTAGAGGGATTGTAAAGCATGAGAAGGAGTTTAGTGTAGCATGATATGCCTTCAGAGAGCAAGGGAGGGGTAGAGCTGTGCTATCAGTCCAAATGTAATGAAAAGCCAAATCAAACAGAATGATGTCATCTGGATAACTTCCTCTCCACACATTCATTTCCTCGGGTGAGCTATGAGTCTGTATGTGCAGACAAAGTACATCTGTGGTTCATCTGGGAGTAAATTCATGTTCGTGCATTATGTACCGTGCAAGCGCGTCCATCAACTGTGGTCTCATTGAACTCCTCCCCCACAGTGAAAGTGATGTGAGTGGTGCGCACTGTGGTAATGGTTTTGATGGACAGCTTCTCTCCATCCTGCTCAATCTCCACCAGTGGCTTCGAGGCCGCCTTGACCGCAATCTTTCGCAGCATGACGTTCACGCCTTATTGGAAACACACAGGACAAAAGAAGTATGATTACAGACACCTGCAGGGTGTTGGCTCCATTTAAATTGGAGCGGTTTCCATTTGAAAAAAAAAAAGTGTTTTAACATTCACAGGAGACAGATTAGAGGGTACAGATTACAGAGAAAAATACTGTCATGCAAAAGGGTCAGAACTTTGGCGTTTTGTGTGTGTCCTCCTGCAGGCACAGAGTGAAAGGAGCAGACTTGCATTGCTCAGCTCTATCCAATAATGATGGCAGGGGAAACAATGAGGTCAGTAGACAAAGCATGTCTGCACATCTGCGCTCCCCTCAGACTTAATCATCTCTGCACGCATGCAAACACGCACTCACCGACCCAAACACTCAAAATGATGTAATGATGTGAACTTATTCTCTTCCCAACTTCAAACCACCACAGTGAGAACAATCCCATAAACTTACAGGGGATAAGAAAAGATTGACAAAACACAATTGTGTTTCCGCTTTGTAGATATTGATTGAAATGTGTCTTATTTAGATTTTTTTTTCTTGTCCAAATAAATTTTTTTGTGTGTATGTAATTAACTTGTTGATGAAATCCAACTGCCTCTAGCTATGTTGTATGAAAAAGAAGCATGCAGGAAAAAACATGGGAGTTTAGGAGGAAGATGGAAAGAGGGGAAAATTATGATACAGTGTGGGAAAAGAGATGGAACAAGGCACAGACTGCTGTGGAGAGTGTGTGTGTGTGTGTGGGGGGGGGGGGGGGTAGACAGCTATGGGGCAGGGGGTCTGTGTGTGAAGATCTCTGTCCAAGTGCGAGGGGAAGTGTGCATGCCCTGCCGAGTTGGGTTTCACACCTCTCGCCTCACAGACATTCCCAACTGTCACCGAGTGTAAATATATACACAGAGAACTGCTCAGTCATCCAGCAGTTCTTTGTGTCTCTGTAAGAAGACAAATGTAAAAAAAAATTGGGAAATAGATTATCTCTTAGTAGGAATCTTTTATAAATTTGGGCTTAACAGACCTCCTTTTCTCTTTTTTTAACTTAAGAACCATACAGAAAGGCCTACATGAACATGAACAGCATGTTATGTTCCAAATGGGGGTCAGGTCCTGGTCTGGGGATCATTTGGAAACCACAGATGGGCCCAAAGCTTCTCATGGAACTGCAAAGCCCTAAGAGTTAGAAATGATCTCAACGCGCTTCAGCAAACCTGAGGCCAAAATTCTGAGTCACAGAGCCACACACACAGAGGGGCAGCTAGACAGACGGTCAGAGGTCAAAGAGCAAGGGAAGTATTTGAGGCGAGGAGTCAGGGAAGCTGGGGGAGAGCAGGAGTGAAGAAAGGACGAGAGGATGGATGGAGAGACAAAGGTTGTGGGTGCTGACAGGCTGCATCCAGCTGCAACAGGCCCCCAATGAAACCAGGAATCAGGAGCAATTCCCCCCAGAGGCAAGGCACATTATTATGAGGAACATTATTGAAAAATCCTGTGTTTTAAACACAATCCTAGATAAGCAAGAACACAGAAATTGTAAATTGGTCATTATTAAATATTCCTCACTTTGGTTAAGCAGCTTTCAGTAACACATTTAGAAGCGATAACTTGAAACATTTCTTATTTGTTCAGTTCAGTTCAAAGGTATTTATATTCCAATAAAAAATAAAGTCCAATTCAAGTCAATTAGAATCCAATTCATTGTAGTTCAAGCAAATTCAAACAATTCATCCATCCATTTTCTGAACCGCTTGTTCCCAAATGGGGTTGCAGGGGGAACGGAGCCTATCCCAGTAGTCAATGGGCGAAAAGCAGGTTAAATTGGACGGTCCAGCAGTCCATCAAAGGGCCACTCATATAGGTCACACAAAGAAATCAAGCTATTTGGAATGTCAAATCAACCTAACATGCAGCTTTTTGGACTGTGGGAGGAACCCGGAGAACCCGGAGAGAGCCCACGCAGACACAGGGAGACCATGCTAACTCCACCCAGAAAGGTCCTGGAACCCAGAACCCTCTAGCTGTGAGGCGATGGTGCTAACCACCACACCGTGCAGCCGCCCGATCAATTCAAGGTAATTCAATTCAAAATAAATCAAAGTCATCCACAGCCAATTAAAAAAGTTTTCTAGCAGAAGAATTGTATCTGTATGATGCAATCAGTCTACCACGCGATTGCTGCGAGAATTTGGCCCACTCTGTTTTAACAGCGTTGGTGTTTGTACACAAAATCTATTGTAAGATGGCTGTATGCTTTGCTTCGAAACAATCCCATATGATCAGCTCACCTCACAGTACCTGACAAATGAGGAGTTTGTGTTGATGTTTCGTTGCTTTTTTTGGTTTCTCCAAATATGGTGCTGATTCTCGATGTCTTTATGGTCTCATCTGCTCAAAAGAAGCTTAACCTGTCCTCCCATGCTTTCTTGTGACAGACGATGCTTCCTCCTGCAGCTCTGCCAGATAAGCTGGACTTGTCAATTTCAAATTGAAATGATGATGATGTATTTATTGACTGGTTGTGAACTTGCAAGATATCCACTGCTGAGGACATTATCCATCCATCCATCCATCCATCCATTTTCTGAACCACTTATTCCCAAATGGGGTCGCGGGGGGACTGGAGCCTATCCCAGTATTCAATGGGCGAGAGGCGTGGAAGTTTTCCACTTCTGAATAATCTTTTTCTCTGTAGAATCATGGATGTCAAATAGTTTGGAAATGGTCCTGTGATGGACACCAACAAAGGCTTCTCTTTACTGTTGCTAATATCTTTCCTCCTTGAAATTGTGCTGACATGGGAGCCATAAAACTGACAAACCCAAACCATACTTCCATCTTGTGAATTTAAACCATCATTCTTGCATCAGGCACACCAAGGAAACACAAGCAGTAGGTCATGCACCAAAAACCCTGATCCCTCATCAGTGTACAGGGTGCCACTTAATCATATCGCCATCTCTCCCTTTGTTAGAGTTCCCCTCCTCTGCCTCCTGCTGCCCCCTCACACACATACATTTTCCATGATTGGCAGAGACAAATAGACGGGCTCATTGGACCGAAATCAGACGCTAATTGGTAGTTCGGGAATTCTCTCTCGCTCATTGTGATGATGCGTCTGTGCCCAGGATAACAGCGACGTTTGACAACTTTATCACTGACATCCATATGCTGTACTCGTGGAGGGTCACCGAGAGAGCACGGAATAAAAAGCAGCGTTGTTTGGCGCAATCATATCTCTCCCTGTGCCATGCGTAATGACACGGATTCCAGGTGTGCACTGGAAACTCATAATGAGAAATGACTATTAACGACAGAAGGCTTGGAGTCGGGCACGCGCGCCCACCCAGACGCACCCCCCAGACAGCAAGCCAGTGATGGGACGCAAACGCGGACAATACTGTGGTGAATCTGGGAAGCAGGTGTTTGCCCTGACATTTCAGATAATGAACTTACTGTCCTGCACTGTATTGTGTCACAACGGTTCTCCTCAGAACCCCCCCCCCCCCTCACACACACACACACACACACACACACATTCTGAGGTTGTGACACAGACAGATGTGGCACCGTTTGTCTCTATTGTGTTTGTAGACGAGGCCAAAAGGGGAGATGGGAGGAAAGAAAAAGAATTGAAGCTGGCTGGGGGCCAAGCACTGAGAGTTGGGTTCTGCAGAATGACAAAGACCCCCCACCCATGCCGTACAGAATGATACTCGCTGGTGCACCGACCCAGGGCAAGATTTGACCCACAAAGTGCTGAGAAAAGCAAGGGCACGGTTTGTGCAGACACTCACTGATCTGTGTCATCACGCAGGGAAATCCAGTGCGTCTATGAAAAGGAAAAGAAAATGCTATCCAATGAGGGGAGCTCTTAGAATCACTTCCATCACTTACCCAATGCTTTCAAGAGTTCCTCGAAGTTTTCTGAGCTTTTCATTTCCCAAGTGCCGGAGAAATTAGGGTGCTCCATGTTCAGCTGCACGTAGTTTGCAGATTTAATGCGGATAAGCTGTCAGGTCCAAGTCTGGCAGGACACTTCTGTCTGTGCGTCAAAACAGCTCCAGTCAGCGCCTCTGAATCTTGTGTGAGTGGCGGTGGGTGATTTCAGTTTAACTTTGATCAGTTGCCTCAGCCGGCTTTTGTGGGAGGGGTGACCGACTGTCAGTGCTCTTATCACATCGATATTCTGGTGCAAGTTATAAACTGCTACGCATGAAATGAATGGCACGGAAAGCAATGATACTCTTATAAGGATTCACACGCCCCTTTCCATACGAGCACGCCCAGAAAGCCGACTGAGTGCGGGCAAAAGGACCACAGTGACCACGCCCCTGAAGGCAACATGTGCGTTTGGAACGGCACTTGGAGACGCCTCTCGCGCGCTCGCAACTTGGAGACAGACAATCCGGCTGTATCCAAAGCGCACTGGAGAGGTTTCAGCCATCTAAAAGTCCTACACTGAAAATAACAAGTGACATGTGTTTGTTCAGTTGTTATAAGGCGTATAATTTCACCGTTAAATGAATCTCTTTGTTTCTTTCAGTGCTTTTATTTCAAAACAGGAGGATGTAGCCAGGCCGGTCTGTTGACAGAACATGTCGTCTTGGCAGGGCGGTGCGAAGGAAGAACAAGTCAACTGCCAGACTGGCAGACAAAGTGGATGGCAGAGCGGTTGCGTGTGGGTGTGTTTGTGAAGAATAAGTGTGAGAGAGACTCACACAGAGAGGCCAAGTTCAGCAAGAGCCGGCGCTGCACCGTCATAAAAATAAAACCGGCGGTAATGAGATCCAGCTACTGGCTGCGACCTCTAGGCTCTCCATTTAACTGGTCCTGCGTCAGAGGATAGAGCACTCTGGAGTGAGTCATAGCGGGGAGGCAGAGATTAAATTGAAAGGTGGGGTTGGTGCAGGTCTCCCTCAGAACTCTCTGCCCCCCGCTGCTCAGACGGAAGAAAGGGGCGAGAGGAGGAGGAGATTTGTCAGACGGGGCAGGGTCAGGGGCCCGCAGGGTCGGAGGTGTTCCAATAACACACACACGCACACACACACACGTAGGACTATGTATGCATGTGCTGATGATGGATAGACCCTGGACAAAGCCGACGTTAACTATTGACTCTTGATGGATGATCCTATTTGCTACGCTGCGCAACGAATTAGTGTGAGGTATCCCGGACGACTTGAATGATACTGGAGTGCCCAGATCTATTAATTTCCAATAAAACACCAACTTAGTGTTAGACTCATTCCAGACATGCATACTCTAAAAGATTAACATGAATATTTGGGGAAACGATACGTGGGTCCACTTTTACGCACAAACCTAAGTCCGAACGCAGCGAACTGCAACTGGCCCGGAGGCTGGATGGGGGAAAAAAAGCTTGCTCACATTGTTCCCTTCGCCCACGAGTCATTGGCCACACACCGTGCATCAGTCACAGCATGTTCACACAAGACAGCCAAATCACAATCTCCGAAGTTTTCTGTTCAATCTCTTGAATAAGAACAAACATGCGTGCGTGTATCAAATGCACAAAAAATCTCCACATCAGCCAGCTGCACCGCTCCTGTGGTGGTCTGTTGAAAAAGGCCTGTTTCAGAAAGAGGGAATCGATCACGTCACCAATTTCAAAGTAACTTATTCAGACACAAAAGATCCAAGAGAGTGTAGGCTAACGTTGGGAGAATTCATCTTCGGCTTCACTGCAGGGCAGTAGCACATTACCATGACTTGACAAGAGATGCATCAAAGGCCTTTGAATCAAAAGGGCAACCATGCAGGACAGGGCAGTGACAGCCTCACCCATCATTAGTGTGTCCAGTTCAGAGAGGGGCTTGATAGAGAGCTCTGAATTGTGTGTGATGCTGCATGTCAGCACGTGATGACAAAGCCCGGCTCAGCATTCAGGTCCACTCAACCTCTCTCTCCACTCATTCCTTCCCTCTATTCCCCATTTCCTCTGCCTCTCTTTCACCTCTCACAACTTTCTGCCTCTCCTCCTGCTGCTGACAATCTTTTGTTCTTTTGTGCAGCTCCGACACATTCCTCAAGCATGTTGAGGAGAGGGAGAAGGGCAGCCGAGGAGAGGAGAAGATGGAAAGTTGAGAGAAAATAAAGAGGAAAGTTAGCGAAAACTTTCAAGAGCAGTTTTTTCTGTTTTTATCTGTTTATTGTAGAAACGTGGATACCAGTGAGATGGCGAAGTGAGACAGAGGGAGGGGGAGGGAAAGATATAAGATCAAAAGCTGCAATGACAAAGATGGAGAAGTTGAGAAGCAGTGAAAGAAGAGAGATTCTTCTGTCTTGGAGGTGTAAGAGGTATTAGTTTGCTCCTCTGGTGCCAACTTTATGACACTCACCTTCATTTCCTGATGTTGGCACCATTATCCCTCTGTGTACTGCTCACTTCTTTTGTTTCGTGTTGTGTTCTTTCTCACACTGACTTTATTGTTGGTAACAGATATCATCACCTGACATCACAGGGACTGACAGGCTGTGGAAGCTACACAAAGTCTATTGTGAATCATTTATAGAAAACTCCAGTTCAAAGCAGAGGCAAACACAGAGATGCAGTAAAGATTGTGAGACTGAAATTCACAGAGAAACGCCAAAAAAAAATGCGACAGCTCAAGATTTTATCCAGTAAGATTTACATAAATGTTGCATTTTTTTAAATACAGAATGTTTAGGGAAAGTCCAAAACTGAACTGTTGTGATGTAAGTGCTGTGCCATACATGTTTATACCTCGAGATACAGCTTCTCCAGGGAAAATAAGGCTTTTAAATGGGAGAATTAGCACCAAACGTGCAGGTCAAAAGTGTATAAGTCAGATACAAAGTAACTGCATAATATAAAGGTATATCTATTTTAATTACATTATCATTTAATTTGATCCTATCTTCTAACTTATAACATCATATGTTAAAACTTTTCATGGCTTTTTACACTTTTCAGTGATTTACCTTCTATGGTGTGATGGGTATACGACCACGCACACCACTTAAGGCATCCATTCTGCCAGTAACCCGTATCAAGTGACCCGGGGGTCTGCACGCCTGGTCGGTGGAGCAAGTCAAGATCACTTAGGTGCTACAGCCGATCATCACACAGGTTAGTTGTTTGATTGTTTCTGTGCGTCAGCAGAGATTGTTAGTGTGATTTACACTGATTGTCGAGCCCTTTGAGTCAGCGTTTAAACATAAATATGTGAATGGAGGGTGATAAAAAGTTTCTTAAGCTTCTCAAGGGTGTGTGACATAAAAAACAGCGAACACATCGTCACACCATGCTGGACACAATGCACCCATGAAGAGAAAAGAACAGTCGCTTTAAAAGGTTAACCCGCTTTATTTTCTACGGCTCCAATTCGCCATTTGTTCCTCAAAATACCTCACATGCAGATAAGTGATGGTTGAAAAAGCTTTAACAACAGCTTTCTACAACATAGTCATTAAGATAGAATAGACTGAACAAACTGTTGTTGAGAGAGGATAAATCCCCCACACACAGGTTTTTGCTTGTGTCAGTGGAATAAAGAAACAGTTTTATTCAGAATTAAAATAATTACAATTTGTGTAATTCAAACAGGTTATTACAAGCTGAGTCTAAGATATCTGCACTTGTGTGTCTCAGAGAGCTGATACAAGACTGTTTTAAACGAGTGTATGGAGGCTCTTTTTTTATGCAAATTAGACCAGCCCTTGAATCAACACTCTTAGCAATGTCCTGGGTCAAATCTCCAGTGTAACTTCCTCTTATGCCGCTGATTGTTTCCCATTTCCTCCACTCATTCAAATGACACAGATTTGGACCATATCAGCAGAGCATCCAGTTAAAAAAAACGCTGATGTGGATGCAGAACAAAAGTCCTTATCACACTTGTGACTGTGACTTAGACTTCCTTTATTGTCATTGTACAGAGCCACATAGTGAATTTGACAACGAACTCTCGTTGCTTGTCTACCAGGTACAGCAAGGTCTATATGTAGGTTTGGTAAAAAATACTGTGGATAATTACAAAAAAAAATGAAACTATATAGATATAACTATAAATGTATAAATCAAAATCCTTGTTGCAAAAAATATTTTTCAATAGTCACAACACGTTTGTACAGGTGCAAACTTGTGCGTGTGAAAGTAGAAATGTAGAAATGGTCCTGTCTTAAAGCCACACTTCAGTGCCATTATTCAGTTTATTATCTAGCCGACCTCCAGTAAAAATTCTCACCCCAGTGTTTTTAGTGATCCCAGATGTGAACTTGACCCAGGCCTTCCAAACCACCGACTTTTGACTGGAAGTCATTAATGCTGTCTTTTACCCTAGAAGAAAGCCACTGAGTAAGAGGCATGCACCCAAAGGTTAAACGAATTACTGTAGCTTTCTCATATGATTTATCCTTAAATCACTGTGTCATTGGGACTTCCCCAGTGTATCATGGTTTGAACTGGACAGGCTGTGGGATGATTAAAAAGAAAGAAAAGAACCTGTGATATGATTGTGCAAAATGGGGTGTTTTTTTCATGTGATTCTTGCTCTTTCAGCATGAAGTCCTTGACAGCGTAACCTCCTACTGTCTCCTACCTGAGATAATAAAACTATTTATTTTGTTTTGTTTTATGGGTTGAAACCCAACACATTGGTTAAACACTTCTCTGTTTGACTTTAACAACAGTTGCACAAACAGCCAAATGCCGCACACACATACACACACACACTCACACACATATATTCGCGGCCCAAAAAACTGTGTGCAGCACTGTGGGCTGCTGACATGCTGACCCAGCAAACCACATGGGTTTGATTAGAGCAGCAAGGACGGCAGCAATTAAAATGGAAATCAGAGGCAGAGTGCATGAGAGGATGAAGAGCAAAGAGGAAAGAGATTGAAAAAATAATCAATTTGAGTGTAATATAGAGCGTGGAGTGGACATAGTTTGCCTAAGTCCTAAAAATCATAGACAGAAGTTTTGCTCTACCGAGCAAGACGTGGCCACATAAATCACACAAAAAGCTTTTTTAAAGAAACCATTCCCTGATAGCCTGCCCCCACAATCACATATCTGGGATTTGTTTGATTCAGTGCATCAGTGGACAGGGTATGTGTGTGTGTGCATGACTCAAGCGGTGTACATGAGACCAAACCTCCCGATGCCTGTGCTGTTCCACCCAGACACCTGTATTACTCACACTCTGTTCCTTTTGTCTATTGGGCTCCCTCCTTCCCCCTCCAACTACTAAAATCCCTCTTTCCTGCCCCTCATGTCTTTGTGGCTCTAATTATTGTGCTCCTTTGTTACGAGTTGGTCTGGACAGCGGGAGAGCAAGCCTAACTTCAATTAGAAAGGAGGGGAGGTGCGGGTGCATGTGAATTTAAGAAGCTCATTCCATCAAAGTTGTCTTTAATCTAAACTTGTTCACGGGCAATTCTTTCAGACCTTTACCTTTTTTTATTTTTTCCATGTCTCTGCCACCTACAGTTCTAACCATCACACGGGCCCCTCTGAGGCGTTACATGACTATGGTACTGTAAAACTGCTTTGTACGGCCTGAATGATGGTGAATTGCTCGACTCCAGACAGGAAGGCAGAGGACAACAGAAGGGAGGAGAAAAAGGAGGTCAAAATGCAAAGAGAGGAAGTGAAGGAGATAGAGGTGCTCACGAGGAAGGTTGGGTAAAGTACAGTGAGGTGAAGTTGACGGGAAAGCTGAGAAGAAAAACAAGGGCCGGTTCCCATACTTTCACTGCTTTTGGCCTAAATCAATGTTGGTGTGTTTTGTTTTCCCCAAAACCCAACAAGTTCAGTAAAAGTGCAGCCCTCTCCGGGTCGTACCACCCCTCCACCCTCACACTGCCTCTCACTCTACGCTCATTCTTTAATTCCCCTGCAGCTTTTCCTCCTCGACCCGAGTCAGCGATTGTTGTGCGCTTTTGCTTTTTCCTCTGCCATGATTGTGTCAGCAGTCTGTGTGTGTTCAGTAGAAGTGTGACTTTTTGCATGCGGGCATTTCTGCACTATATTCCCAAATACAGTAAATGTCTATGCATGCATAGGCCCATGGTGAGGTCACAGATCAGGAAATGCCCAAGTTAAATAACTAAACTGGAGGTCAGGCTCTGGTCAGATGTGTTCCCAAAGTGTGCATTACCTGTCTTTGCCCTATCAAATTATATGCTTTATTGTGGGGGTTTTGTGTGTTTGGAGCAGGCTCTGATATGGTTCTGTGGAGCCTCAAGGCACAAAGCAGAAAAACTAAATTGTCATTTGATTTCTTCATGATCTTGTGACTTTGCAAAAACGCCTCTGAGAAACAGACAGGATAACAGATACTTTAAAGAGCTGAATCATGATCTAAACAACACTTGAACTCCTCCTCCTCTGCAACAGAACCATGGTGCAGGAAATTTGAATAGATCTTTTTAAGAGGGCTGAATTTTTAAAAGTTCAGAAATGTGTTAGCATAATCTGTTCCTAAACTGTACGTTGTCTCTGAAATCCTATGTGATTCTGATCATGTTTCAACTCACATAAATGACACCTGAATAAATCATACTTTTGTAAGCCTGGTCAAATGCTTCCTCCCTGACTTCTTAGTTTTCTATCTTCATCCCCAAATTTTCTTTAATCATCCTGTCATTATGTGTCTTCTGTTCTAAGTGCTCAAACATGATTTCATTATTTTTTTGGACCTAACTTTGGGCATCTTGAATTGCAGTACTTGTTTTATTTCCATCAGATAAGTTGACAGACACTTTCGAACACCTCCTGGTTACACAGTGGCAGCACACAGCTATTTTCAGGTCTTTGCAGAGATCTTGTACTGTGTGAAGTTGTTCACCTGATTCCATTCCTGTGTTTACTTTACTTTTGTGAGCCATGGGATTTGACTGAGACATTCAGCCCTGTGGAGAAGTTTGTCACTTAGGGCATTTCCCTTCTTATTTTTGCATCCACCCTTCCAGTCTGAGTCAAATAATAGAACGCCTCCACAGAAGGAGGCTGCCATCATGTCATCTGACCATAAGGAGCAACAGCATGATGTTTATAGAGTTCATGGCTTCCTTCACACATTTTTGGTAACTGTGGCCAAACAGTTCACTCTTTATTTAATCAAATCAGAATATTTAGCTCCTTTAGGAAGCAAACATTAGTCAGTAGTTATGTGAGTTTCAGGTCAGCAGACCCTTCTTCTTAGCCTCATCACTCAATTAGATAAACAACATTAAGTTTCAATTCACAGACAGATTTAAGTGTCTCAAGGACCAGCTAAATGTAAATAGCTTAATCGTGAAAAAACGTCTAAATAACGATTAATTTATTATTTTTTAACCTTTTTTTCAAAAGGAAGCCTAAAGTCTGACTATTTGTTCGGAAGAGAAAACTGTGTACACTGATGAGAGAAAATCATATTATTTTAATAAACCTTAACTTAGACCAAACTGTTCAATTCCAAATGACTTGCCATTTTTTGACTGCTCCAATATTGCCTTAGTTGGATACTGAAGAGTGTATTTGGTATAAAGAGAATGATTGGAGTAATTCTGGATTAAAAGACAAATATTCAGGTTTTTGCAAAAAGGTTCTGTGCTGAAGCTCTGGTCTGTCCATTATTAAGCAGCTCTTCTGTCATCTAGTGGTGATGTGCAGGTGGTGCCATGTCTCTCTTCCGGACTTTTTCTCAACCCTCTTGACCAGTGTTCCCGATCCCTGGTCCCCAGGGCCCACAGTCCCTGGCTCCAGCCCACCTGATTCAAATGAACGCCTCAGCTCCTCAGCCTGAGGACCAGACAACACTTATCTTCACAGAAGGGCTTCGGCAGGCATGGCCACAGTCATTAACTGTAACTAATCTTACCGGTGTTTACTCCTGCTTGGTGCTTGCAGCTTTGCGTGACTGTTGGCCCGCCCGAATCCCTGCAGGGACAGGTGTAGTCACACGCCAATGAGGTTTGCTTAGAGAACAGTTTGTGTTTGTGGTCTCCATGAGAACCAGTTTTATTGTAAGACCTGCAGAGTGACAGAGGTTTTCAGAGTTGTCAACCGTCCAAGTTTGCAGTCATTCCAGGACTTCTGATCTGGTTTTAGATCAAGTTTGGACAACATAAGAGCTAATTTCTTTTGAACCAACCACCCACTGTGTGGCAGTTTGTAATAGAGTTACATTGTTACAAAGTTACATCTTAAGGATTGCATTTCGAATGTAATGGAATGGGTTTGGTATTTGTGCTAATGGACCTATTTTTATAAAATCCAAATTGGTGAAGTAAAATAAATCAAAAAAATAAATGAACTGGTTCAGCTACTTAGCTTCAGAAGACACATAATCAATTTAGTCTCCTTATGTGTAATCAAGTGGCAAAGTCCAAACACCTGCAGACACAGGTGTGTCTGTGCAGCACTGAGTAGGCAGCAAACAGAACAAAAAGGAGCTTAGCATCCAAGTCAGGGTCTAAATTTTAGAGACACAGACAAATGTGAGTTTACAGACGACACATCGGTCAGAGCATGATTAAATTAATCTTAGATTATGACTCACTGAAAAAAACCCAAGAAATGGGCAGAGATGTACGTGGGGAAGCAGCCACATCTTTGAGAGTAAAGCAAGTTTGTAAGTCACTAAACGGCTCTGAAGGCCACCCATGTTTGGATACGGGTGAGTGTAGTTCAGTTTAAAAAAAAAAAAAACATGTTTACCCACTACATGCTCCCTCTCATGGAGGCCTGGGTATTTACATTTAAAAAAAAAAAAACTGGATTTAAAATGGCCACGGTTCAACAAAAGAACTAAGATAATCAAATAGTGATCCATCACTGCCTGAAGCCTCCACCCTCATACAACCGTGGCTCATCTTCCCAGATATTTGCCATTGCTGTTCAAAGGCTTTCATATAAAGTATTTAGTTTTAAAGTAGTAATTCTTAACTATACCATGAATTTATTAATTTGCCCCTACTATGGAACACCATAATTTGTGTTTTTATGCATTGAAATGTATGTTGAAGGACATGCTGTTTTTGTTTTGTTTTTTAAGAATAAATCAATTTTAAGATTTAGATTGAAAGTGATTGTTTAATGCATCTGAAGATGCAGCTAATGTTAAAAATTCCAAAAAGTAACTTTAGTATTTGTGACTGCTATCAGCAACATGTAAGAATTGTTGCATTTGAGGTGATGGAGAGCATCATGTAACAAATTGAATTTGTGTGTTGGATGGTCTTGGCTTCTAACCTTGTGACTCTTGTTATCCACTCTGGCCTGTAAGATTCTCAAACTTGCAAAGACTTACTATTAGTCTTTGGACTCCTGAACAAAATGGTTGGAAATATGTGCCCTGTTTTTATCTTTAAAAACAAAAAAGTATATGACAAAAAATGTATATGATGATTTTTCATCATTTTTAAGTTTAAATCAAATGAACCAGTCTGATGTTTGAACGGATATCTGAGTCTACATCTTTGAAATGATGTGGATCAGTGACTTATAGTTTTCACTGTATTGTTGGAATACAAGGAGGATTAAAAACTGAAATGTGCTAAACCCTGAAACTTTTTAAAAAATGATCTGCTTGTCCCTTTGTCTCTGTGGAAACATGAATCTGAGCTTCCACTTAATGTTACTGGTGGGGAAACTTACTCTATTCGATTCAACATAAATGTTTTGTTTATTTTTATAATTCGGTGAAAAATATCCTTCTTGCTTCAAACTTAAAATACTACACTGAAATCTGCACTGCATCAGTATTTTTTCATAAGAAAAAACAAAAGCATTTTATATTAAATTACATTTATTCAAATTTATAAATGCATAAAACCAAATACTTTTCTTTAACCTAACAAATCTAATAAAAGCAAATATACATGACTAAATTTACAGTAGATTTGAGTGTTAAAACCCATATAAAATATATTTTCATACAAAATGTGTCCACAGCAAATTCTTTAAAAATGCATCATGCTGAAATACTGTGGATGTGATTTAGACCGTAATACTGTTTAAAATCACACATAAAAAAAAAGAAATATCAGGACTTAAAATTCAGATTAAAAATGTCCTTAGGTATAATATTCAAATCAAATACTCCGTCATATTATTCAAGCCAAAAGCCAAAGTGGAAGAACAAATGACAACCAGAGCCATGACGTTTTGGAGCTGGGAGCGTGGGCTTTTGCCTCTGGGTCTTGGCAGCCTTTGGCGTTGTTACTTGGCTTCAGGTATGTAGGGTTTCCCTCAAAATGGACCGGCAGGCACTGGTTGTCCAACACTTCACATGCCAGGATCAGGTGTTTTGTTTCCTCTTTGACGGTTTTGATGCCACAGGTTCCTTGCTCACTTCTCACCGTGACGAAAGTAAAAGGCTTCTGGCTGATGCACAGGTTGTCCTTCAGCACCTTTCCGCCTCCGTTTGTACACACAGCCCTCACCTTCTCCAAATCTTCCGGGCTGAGGAAGGACTGAGTGGGTCTGTTGCAGTTTCCGAGACCCCTGATGTACTTCTCCCACTCATTCTGGTCTAGAGAGGAAGGAGCTCCTGAGGCAATGTGGCGTTTGATGAAAGTTTTGAAGCCATTGTTCCATCTGGAGGGCTGGCATGGAGCATCATTTTTAGCAGATGTCTGTTGACCCAGCAGGACACAAACGGCAAGAGAGAATAATATTCTGCTTACAGCCATTAGCCCGCAGTTCTGAAATGCAATACAAACCATGAAATGTCAACAGTATCCACAAACAAGAACACTTTGTAGCCTTTTTAGGGGCTCTGCATTCTTTTTCGTTTCCATAAAATTGACACAAAACCACAAAGGCTTCACTGCTTGGGCTGCAGCTGTGTGTGTGTTTTCGTGTGTGTGTGTGTGTGTGTGCGTGCAGTCTCTAAACAGCCGGGATTACTTCCCTACCTCGTTTTTGGCAGCAGGAGATACTTCTCTGAAGCGCAGAAATGACCTGAAATTTTCAGCTGTTGGCTCGTTCTGTTGTCCTTCAGTTGCAGTTCCACATTTCACTTCCTGAAAATGTGAGTGGGTGTGGCCTAAGCATTGGACAACACTGTCCATGTGGTTGTGCTAAAGAGATGATGAACTTACTCCTACATATACTGTATATGTGCAGCAAGCTATTTTCCTATGCACACTTCTGCCTTTTGCATTTCTTCTTCATATGACATACTAAGATAGGAAATTAAGCAAATTGTGCCACAGAAGCACACCTGATGCCACCTCTGTCTATGCCTTTATGAGCATAGTTAAAATAATAATAATATATACACAGATACATAAAAATGCAAAAAAAGAAACAAGAAAAATAAATAAAATAGACAGAAGCGATGGCAACATCCATTGGCCTCAGGTAGAAAAGGCAGTCCTAAACAGATGTGTTTTGAGTTGTGATTTGAAATGGGGGAGTGAGTTGATGTTTCTGAGTTGGGTTCCAGAGCCGGGGAGCAGAGCGGCTGAATGCTCTGCTCCCCATGGTACTGAGACGGGCGGAGGGGACAAACGGGTGAGAACATAGATAAGGTCAGACAGATATGAGGGAGCAAGGTTGTGGATAGACTTGAATGTTCGCAGGAGAATTTTGAATTGAACACTGAACTGAACCGGGAGCCGGTGGAGCTGTTGGAGGACAGGAGTGATGTGGTGGATCGAGGGGGTTCGAATTATGATGCGGTTGATTCAGTTTCATGAGTAATTATGTTCAAACATACTGTATCTTCTATTATGACCACTTCTTGGAAATAACATTGTGAGATTAAAAGTAAACGACATGGCAGAAATTAAAGGGGACATTGTGTAAAAGTCTAATAACTTTGATGACAAAATAAAAAGTGCTGGAAAACTGGGAACTGATCATCAATATTCTGGAGACTAAAAGATGTGACGATAAAATAGATTATTTTCCATCCCTGACTAAATAGGGATAGAGTATTGATATTAACACTCCATAATAATATGTAATTTTGCACAATAGGTTTCAGCTTTTACCCTTAAGCCTTGATTTAAAAAAAGGTCTAAAATCAGAGTTATCAACGTGCAAGCAAAAGCTTCTCACCACTGACTGTACTTTACAAACAGGAGTGTTGCATTTTTTTACACGGTAAGAATCATATGGTCACATGCTGCAATGTAGTTATTGATGCAGCAGCTTCTACTAAAAAAAGGCCACTTCCCCTTTCTACGGTTTTTCTCCTGGTTTTGGTATTGTTGTTGTTTTTTTGTATTTGTTTTAAAAGTCACTTAAATACTAATAACTTCATAGTCTCTGGTGAATTTGTATATCTTTACATGAAATATTCATTTTTTACATCCTGTTTTTAGCTTTATAGTAATGACAGCAGAAGGTATGAAAGGCACAAAAAAAGGGTAGAGCCAATGAGGTGGACCACAGAGGTGGTGAAGGTGGACTCATCATGAATTTTATGAGTGACGCGAAAAGGTGCACCTACACACACACACAACTGGAGAACTTTAGAGTCGCTGATGAACATTGAGTCATGGTGATGCTAGAAGATTAAAAAGTCCAAATAGGTTGACAGTCAAATGTTTTAATGTGGTGCTCACTTTGACAGTATGACAGACCAAGAAAAAGAAAATCCCAAACTTGAATTAAAGGATGCGTAGCACCTGAAATCCATATAGGAACATTAAAAAAAACAATAAACATATATATATATGTGTGTGTGTTAATTTCTATTCAGCCACAATGTCTGAACACCACCTGCTAACACAAATTTCATATGCTTTCCAAACAAATCTTTTTTTTTCTGGGAAAAGGGGAAGTAAAAGTTACGATAAATTTCCCCAATAAAAATACTTTTTTTTTTTTTGTAGTGCAGTGTGCTTGTGCTTCAAGAAATATAGTGACGATAAGCAATGGAAAAAGCAAATATTTAATCAAGTACAGAAGTCCTCCGTAAATCTGCAGTGTTTAGGAAACATGCCTTGCAAATAAGATGGCGTATTTACTATGACAGAAAACAGTGAATATGGGTGGAGAGGACACTGATGACAGCAGGAGGCTGCGACTGTGTTTGTCCAGATGTTAATTGTTCTGAGAAATCTTTCCTTTTTTGCTTTTTGAACAAAAATGTTGCTCTCAGTTCCCTGAAGAGACGTAAATCAGTAAAAATATCATTTGAGTGTCTAGCATCAGGTGAAATGTGCTACAGCTGGGAGGTAGGTAAAGGCTCTTCTTTCCTTTCAGCTTCCAAAGTCATGTTCAGAGCCAGGTCTTGCTTTTGTTCTTTTGGGTTCTCTGTCTCTTTTGCCCTGAAAAAAGTAAAAAGGGGAAATTAAATATTTGAGTTAATGTAATTCTTACATCATCCAGAAGATGTCCCTCTTTGATTTCTAGGGAATATCATGAAAACCCAATTCACCCTTGTTCTGAGGCTCCAAACAAATAAGTGACTATTGTCCAAAACGAGATTTAGATAAAAATGTGTTGGTATTACAGTTGTTGAGAAGTTAGTAATAGGTCAGAAAATTGAGGATAAGTTGACAAAGTTTGTTTAAAAGAGGGGGCCTTTTAAAAACCTGCATGTTAGGCTGAGTGGACATTCCAATTTATCCCCAGGAGTGAGTAGGAGTGTGTGTGGTTGTTCATCTTTGTGTGTCTGTATGCGTGGCCCTGCGATGGACTGGGGGACCGGTCGAGGGTGTGCCCTGCACTTTCTCCCATTGAATACTAGGATAGGCTCCAGTCATCCCGCGACCCCATTTGGGAATAAGCGGTTCAGAAAATGGATGGATGGATATTTAAAGAGTACTTTAGAGGGAGATGTGTGTCTATAGATATATATTGTCAGCTCAGTTCAAAAAGGACAAAGAATGGATTCAGGCTTTTCCCATTTTTGTGTGCTATTTTGGTAAATATAGATGAAGTCAGCAGGGCCACAGTCCACTATTATTTAGAGGACACTTTGGAAGAATTGAATATCACAGTAAATTGCATAACCCAAACAGTGAGTAACTTATTCCTTAAACAGCCAAGCTCATAAATACAAATGAGGGGGGGAAATACTCCTCTGTTTTAGATTGATTTACATCAGGAGCTACACTCACTCAAACTTTAACATTGTCCAACACATTATTAAAGGATGTAGCACTGTTTTTAAGATTATACAACAAATAACTGACAAAACTCCCCACTAAAGCTTTGCCACAGGGATGTTTTTTTTTTCTTATTATTCTTCACTGAGAGGCTTTAATTTGTAGTTTAATAAAAGATCAACTAAAAGGCTTCACTGAATGTTTACATAAATCTACTATATCAACTATTGTGTTTCTCAGTTTGTGAAATATAACAACTCATATAAGTAGTATGAAAGACGTGTTAGAGTCTAACTGATTAGGGTAAGTCACTGTAATCTGGTGGTTAAAGTAAAGAGATTTGGTCAGGAGGTTAGAGGTGATGATTTGAAACAGTAACCTTGGCATGGGAGCTGGCCGGTTGTTGTGCAGGATGTCCCAGCTAGAGGTAGAACTGCCACAAGATCAAAAGACACAATCACATGATGAAAAACTGAAAAAAGAATGCACACATACACATATGTGTGTGTATACATAGAAAAAATATTTAGAAGAAGAAACTTTTTGTGCAAATATTTTAAAATCTCAGCGCCACCAACCCTTCATGGCATTTTGAAATATGTGCACAGAACTGATTAGTGTTAACAAAGCCAGCAGTTCCCAAAGCAGTTAAGGGGATTGATCAAAAGACATTCCGAGAAAAAAGATATTGACAGAACTGACATCAATAAAGGTTTGGCTGTGTGAGAAAATCCCAGCGATACCATCATTGGTCTCCATATTGTTGACATATTTATTCAGCAAGAGCCAAAATATGTTCAAACTGAAACTTTTTTCTTTAAGCATTGAAACTGTGGTATAGAGGTCAGTGGGTTCATTTGTACAAATTTCCACTGGCCGGCAACAGCAGAAGCACTCAAAGAGATAAATATGAGCAGAACAACACCGGTCGTAACACCCAATGCAAATAGTGAACAGAACTTTCTTGACTCTGCTGCATTTAAAATCAGAAATAAAAAAACACAGACTGGTCTGTGTAGTCAAGTCACAAAGTAGAAAAACCATTGGACGAACTGCTGAACATCTTCAAAGTTGTGTGAATCTGTATCTTAATCTTGGTCTTTTTCTAGATGGCAGTAGGTTCTCTCCAGACAGCCAAACAGAGGCTCAAGTTCAATTTGGTCGAGTACATTTCAGAGGACAACTTCAGCTTGTCCTCTGAAAGGAACAGCTTTGGGAGCTGTTGATCTACGGAATGAAAATATAAAATCACTTGTTGGACATATAATCAACACCATATCCACTGATCAGCTACATTTATGAGAGAAAGCAACAAAAAGCAGTGGGAAACAAGCGTGTTACTGCAGAAGAGGACAGAAAATCAGAATATTTCCAGCTCCAATCTAGGTTCACGTATTTCGACATGTAAATCCACAGATGTTCTCCTTTTTACCGTCCTTTGTTTGTGGAATTCTGTCTCATTACTTTTTAGCTAACATACAGCAACACCAGCGCATCAGTTGAGCTCTAACCAAAGCCTCTCTGTGGAAATAGGTAACTTGATTGTTTCATGCAGGACCAACATGAACTATTGCCTTTCATTTTATGCAAAGCATTATTTTCAGTGTAAATTATGCAACTGATCCCAGATCTGCGCTTAGGTTATCTGTAAAGCAAAACAAATTTAATTTGAATGAATAAAAGAAAAGAACCAGCAGTCACAAATATATGAACATCCTTGTCAGTGAAGATCAGTTAAACCACCTGTTTACCACAACTGTTTCAAGGTGGAGGAGTTTAAAAAATCTGCCAAGAGAAAGGAGATGACAGTGAGTAGAAGTTGGCATCATCCACAGTGACCGCTCCCACCGTCAAACCACTGACCCGCTGGCGGTATCTCAGTCTTTCTACTGAACCAGAGCACCCAGAGGTGACTCCTTACCGTATTGTCTTCACGATGAAGCGAATGATTACTGCCAGCCCCACACAGCCACACATCACTCCGATCACTATGGCTGTGACTTCGCCTGTAGGGGAAAAAAGACAATGAACACAGCTCTGCGAAAACGTCCCAAATACAGAAATAAACTGGGGACGTTTGATGTTCTTAAAATGTCTTTTTTTTTTTTTGTCAGCAACATTGGTGAAAGTTTTTTAGCAGACCTGATGGTGACAACTTGCAGTCTTACCAGAGGAGAGTTCCCTTCCCGATTCTGAAAAATATATAGTACACAATGAGAAAAATGCCATCAGATTTTGACTTTAAGTTCACAAAATCACGATTGGTTGATTCATCTTAACAGAATCTCATCTGTACAAAAAGGTTGTTCCTACTTTGTGTTGCTGCTTTTGAAAACACTGCTGATTTCACAGGCCTTCCAGTTCAGTCACTCACCACAATGAGCACTTCACACAAATTCTTTCTCCTTTGTCTTTGTCTACCGCTCTGTCTCCCTCTCTGCCTCTTTTTCCTCTCCCCTTTTGTCAGAGAGACCCGTGTGATTACAATGAATTCAGTGTTTACTTTTTGCAAATCCTTTTCTCTTAATCAGCTCTCAAACAAACACAGCTCTCCTTGCTTTTCTGCTCCTTTCTCAGTATCCTTGTATGAATTATCTTCCTCTCTGCATCAACCATAGATGTTAACTGATGTTAACTGATGTTAACTGATGAATTCAAACTGCCATTTGCATTAATCTTTTCCCTTTCTGTGTGCTCTGTGGTCATTTCTAACTTTGATTCAAAGTTTCTCCCACCACTGTCACATTTAATTTAGCAGCCTGGCATTAAAATTGCACTGATTAGACAGAATCCTTTATACCTAAACATGTTAATCATCTGACCACCTAATAAAATACAGTTATAAATTTAACCAGTTGTGCAGAATTTTGAAAGTCCAAAACATAATTCAAAGTCATGAGTCAACATTCTAACATCTGACTCCTTTTGTATTCATGAGCTTGTCTTCAGTGCTAACAGTGCAAGTATGATCCTCACTGAAATACAGAAAATCTTCCTCTTGTTGTTCTCTAACCTGCAGAGAAGGAGGCGAAGATGACTCTGTGGTTAAGTGGTTGTGTAACACGATAGTTGTCTTGCAGCAGCATGTTCTCTGACTCTTCAGCTGTGCTGGAGTAAAGTATCGTCTCCAGCTTCAGCAGCTGGAGTGGAAGGATGAAAACCCATTACAGTTACTTATGGACTGGAGAAATCATCTGGCTATTTGCACATTGGTCACTGGTTTACAGAGAAAACAAGAAGCTCTCCCTTGTGATAAGCCATCTCAAATTATGGGAATTTTATCGTAAGTAAGTTTATTTAAGTAATTGAATTATATCAGATATGATATGAAAATTGGTTTGCAGATTCTAATTTAACAGAGAGATTACTGAAAATACAGGCCAAAGAAGTGGAACTTTCAAAAACAGTGACCACAGCTGCAGTCACTGATAGACTACTTAGTCCATTTGTTACCACTGAAACTGAATTCAGACACCATGCTTCCGTTGGAAGTTCATTCAGAACAGTGTGTTTGCATTTTGGCCCAAAAAGACATCACTATATGAAACCAAAAAGGCAATTAAATATGAGATAATATCAAGCTGTCTCTTATCATTGAAGTTATGAGTTCTTTAAATGAACTATGTAGGTTATAATGTTTTAACACTAAGTTAACCTTGGTGTAACATGTCAAAGCAAAGTTGCTTTAATTTTTTGACCCACAAAGAACTGAACTATTCTGTGTTGGTCAACTTGCGTGTGTGTATGTGTGTAGCTAACTTAACAACTACTCCATACCCCAGCTAGAGTTGTCCACCTTTCAAATGTGTTGGAGCCCTTGTTTTATGACTATTTCACAGAGTTGTGACAGTATTTTCCTCTTTTTCAATATTTTCTTGTCTTGCAGCCAGACGTCAAATCTGTGAAAATATTGCCTATGGAAATATAGTCTTGCCAGGAGAACTTGCTTAATGATAAAGACTGACAGCTAGATATCCATAGAAACGCAGTTACAGCAGTGAATGGAGGAACAGAATTGGCCACAGAACAGCTCATCAAAGCTGCCATGGAGGTTTTCCTGAAATAAAGCTACTCACAAGGCACCTGCTGCATAATCTCCTGCTCAAGACTTGGCACAATGGTGGCAATCAGAAAATCAGAGATTCTGCAGGAACTCAGGCTGTGTTGAAGACAGTGTATGACTACAATTAGCATAATGCCTGTTTCGTGATTGGTTTCAGCCTTTAAAATAAATTTTACGTCATGGTTTAAAGCTCAAAACTGTGATAAAAAACAAAAACGAATGTGTGAAGATGTGAGTACCACTGTTTTTGGCCCAGTTTTTACAGAAATGCTTAATATAAGCATTTCTTAAACTGGAATTAAGCATATTTGGTGTGAACCAGTCCAGGAAAACAAAGCTGAGCTCGTGATAAGGAATCTTAAAAGGTAAATTCTCTGTTCTCAGACAGGCTTAACATGACATTTTGAGAAATATTACATCTCACTTTTTTGATGGTTTTCTTTTTCTGTGTGTGCTTTTAACCAGACCTGCGCCTTTGAGATTTGAACCCTCTCGTGAAACAGCGTCCAGATAACACTCTGGTAACAGGGAGGTGTTGTCAGGGAGCCGTTGTACCGATAGTAGCGCCCCAGGTTATTGGGGAGAAGAGACCGGACGTCAAAGGCTGGGATGAACGCTTTCTGACCTTTTTAGAAAATTAAAGAGGGAGACAAAAAGAGTTGCTGAGGTTAGACCACTTAGCAGAAAAATAGCTGTTATGGATGCAAATGACTTTCAAATACATCTTAAGTATGCCAACCTATTGCAGTTTGATGGTGTAGCTTAATTGAACTGTTACTGAGGAGGGTGCGGAAATGTATTAAAGTCCTTGAATGGCTGAGAGTTGTGATTTGACAAATGAAACCAATCAAAACATAGGAAAGATTGTCCAAACAACTCTGAGGTTTTTAAAAACCTGCAAGAAGACCTACCAGCATGTCTGATGCGGCTCAGGTAGCTGAGGATGTTGTTAAAACCCGGGTTTGTCTCTTCACCTGTCTAAGAAACCAAAAGTCAGACTTTAAACTGCTCAAGAGACTGAAAATAAAAAAACAAGAGACCTCATTTTGTTTCCTAATAGTTAGAATTGTTGTGTTGTGTACATTTACCACAATGAGAATTCCTAAAACAGCCAAGCCGTCTCTCTGTGTCATCGCTGTGGACATGTTGGGGTAGAGGTCAGAATTGTAGTGCACAACATGAAGCTAAATGGAGGAAAAGTACACTGATCAGTACACAAAAAGAGAAGAGATAGGACTTATGCTGTTTTCTCCTCAAATTCTTGCTCAGAGTTGAAAAAATGGACAGAAGGAGGACTGGGCTTAAAGTTTTTTATCATCTAGGCATTTAATCTGAGCACCATCTGAGCAGTCATTTTTTAGCTTTCTCTTGTTGTTTCTGTATATTTTTCTCTCTTGAGTCTACAACAAATACATTTTGCTTATGGGGAATTTTATGTTTTCTTTCTCCTGCATTTTTCACCCCTCCTTTACCTCTGCATTTGCACTCAGGCCGTTGATGGTGTGTTCACTGCCCCCGTAACCTGGACCACCGGAGCCCCAGTGAAGGTGCAGTTGAGCTGCTGAATAGAGCCATGGCAGTCCCCCCAGTCCCATCCACTCCGGCAGCTCAACAATCACTGATCAAAAGAAAAATTTAACAAATGAACCTAAGCAAATGCGAAAGTGTGTGCGAAGAGTCTTAAAAATCTAAGTCATCACTTAGCGTGTAGCAAAGGCCTGTAACCAGGTTACATCTGAGTGCAGTATAAGCAAATCAACTGAAAACACAGGATGTTTGAACACACAGCAGACGGTCATAAAGGGAACGAAAGATCAGCTGGCTGTCATAGTTACCTGTGTGTCCATTATTGAACAGAGTGAAGGGCTGGTTGCCGTACTGACTGTAACCCAGCGGGGTCACTGGAAACAAACTGGGGTCATATCTAGTCTGAGTGGTTATTACATCAACAGGTGACTGGGCAGAACTTCCACAGTCAGGGAAATGCTCCGACCACTCAGACTGACCCACCACGCCTGTGAAAGAGAAAAAACACAAAAAAGGGATGTCATCCAATCACACAGCCCACTGGCTCCCAGTCATTCGCTGAAAACCTCCCATTGACATGTCTCTCACGCAAGATAATTATTATTATTTTACAAACATTCACAGCTCCATTGAAACAAGGTCAATAAGATATTTGAAGAGTATATTTTAAAAAGCCATGCACACAGTTGACTTTTTATGTCCCTTTGCAACAAAGCAACGCAGCTGACTTTACGAGACAGATCTCCCTCTCTGTCTTTGAGCTCAAGCTGAGCTACAATCAACTGGGTGTCTATGAACCCACTGGCTGATTTGAGAGGATGTAACTTCATGTGAAACCTATAAATGAAAGGCAGGTCAAGTCACTGTCTGAATGTCTTTTTTAAAGTTTGGATTAAATCTAATTTTGTTTCAATCCAATTTTCATCATTTATTACCATGCGATTCAAAAGGTCTCAGATGCAAAACGTTTCAGATATCGTGTGTATCAAACATGATACATACGGCATTATAGGGTTAAGTGTTCCCAGAATGCCTAAAAAGTTCCTCAGAAGTCACAATGAAAAGAGACATGAGTCAAAGAGACGGAATTTCAACTGCAAACGGATAATGCTTTTGAAAACAAGTGACAGGTGGCAAAATACATTCACATATTTGCAATGTGTGTGTTCACATACACACAACACGAGGCAGGCCCTTAACATTAGTGGTGTAAAAACATGCCACATCTTTTCTGTTGCTGCTCTCAGTGCCTGTAAGCCCAGCTTGTTCATTTTAACATCTCCATTTTAGCTAACCCTAACCACTGCCCTGTATCACAGCTCAACTCCAAAACAGAGTCCGCCAGCTCTGCAAATTAGTCGCCAGGGACGTTACCATGGTGACCAGAGGCCGAATATTCTGACCCCTTCCACCCTCTTGACAGCACCTCTCCTAGCATGCAGCCCCCCGTCCTGAATGCAGCTACAAAACAAAGACACACACATGCAGATCGCCTCTCTGAGGGCCAGAATGTGGCATGCAATTCCTCTCATCTGTGAATGCAAATCCAATTTTGTACTGAAAAACCAACAGCTCTATAATCATACGCATCACAGCGTGCAATGCACACCTGTGACTAAAACACACACCCGTTGAAGTGCTCTGAATGGCTCGTAATAAAAAAACAATTCTGCCAATGATTCAACTTGTGAACAAGCGAACGATCCGCTGTACACACGCCATTAAAATAGTCCTTATGTCTGAATGTATGGACACCAGCAGACTCCAGGCACAGCCTCTGAAAATTGCTGTGCACCATGTATGAACTAAACATCAGTGTTGCTCTCTTGAATACATGCAGAGGGATCTTTGTGCCCCATTCATTCTCGCACAGTCATTGTCCAGCACATAGCCAGCCAGTGTGTGTCAACAACACAATAAACACATAGGTTATTGTGTGCTGCAACAATGCAGCCCCGCAATTCGGTATGCTTTTGCCTCATCCCGTCCCATCTCCCTCACTCTGTGCGACACACTCATCCTTCTGCACCTGCCTCCTTCCGCCAGTGCCTCGCTCTGCCTTTTTCGATCAGCCTCCAACCCTTCATCATCTCTGTGAGACTGCTGTGCTCATGCCAGCCTGCTCAACTGTAACTAATACAGACATGGAGGGAAGGAGAGGAAAACAGAGGGGCACACGGTGGGTGAGCTATGAGGGGAAAAACACAAATCCATCCAAAGTTGTGGGAAGTCTAATTTGGGGGGTTTGTGTTCATTTAGAGCAGTGACATGAACGTGGAACGGCAGCATGTACCGCGTGGTTCATTCATTTGTTTGCTAATCATGTACAAGACATTGAGCAGGAGGAGTTTTTGTTTTATCCCTCCAGTTGTGAAATCAGCTTTCTATTTACTTCCGAACTGACTTTTAAACTTATTTGTAAAGAGCTTAAAAGTTTTGCCCCAGATTATAAATAATATACCAGATTACAAAGCCCCCTCTTGGGTTTGTTTCTGTTCGGCTCTTTTGTGCTTTGTTACTACTCTATTAACTCAAAATAACTCTCTAAAAAAGTAAGAAGTAAAGTTTCACTTACCCTTGTAGGTCCAGGTGATTTCATCTAAAAAAGAAAAACACAAAGAAAAAGTCCTCAAAGTCCTGTTGTGGTCAGTTTTCATTCCATATGCTCACATTTAAACTGATTTCTATGATGCATAAATAATAAGTTGTTTTTGCTTGATAAAAATGAAACAATTTCAAACATTGTTTTCAAATCCAATTGGTATGCCTGGGATTTAATACTACTCCACTACTAAAGCCCACACTTAGACACCCAAACAAAGCAAACTGAAATCACAGCCAAGAATTTATCACATGATTCCCATTTCTATGTTGATTAAGGCCTTACCAAGAGAAGAAACAGCTGTTTGGTGGAAAAACGTAAGAACTACAAGGATGAAAAGACTCACACAGTCCATGTTCGCCCTCTATTCCCATACACAGAAATGAATTAAAGCAGACTGAGAGATGAGGAGCAAGTGAGGGAGAGACAGAGGTGGGGGGTGAGAGGACTGGGTCCAGCGATCCCACCTGCTATGGCTCTTTTGAACATGTTGAATCCACTCTGGCATCGAGTGCTCCAGAGTGGCTCTCATTGTTACACGATCCGTCACTTTATTTGTCATATCATCATAATAACAAAAAATGAAAATATGGCCATTCAAATGTCTCCTCTTGAGTCACAAAAAGAGACATCTACAAGATCATCTTTGAAATTGATGTCATTTCATGACAAAAACTGATGACAAGTCTCATGACAGGCTGCAAGAACGACTAATTTCTAGCCCGGTAAGATTATTGACTCGTCTGACCTAATCCAATATGAAAGTTGATGTAAAAAGTCTCATTACACTGCATGTATAGCCAATCATTATTGTGCTCTATAACACAGAAAGGATGTGAACAGTCACATTTGGACACTAGATGGAGCCCTAGTTAAGTTTCAGACCATCTCCTCACATTTTAATTTTCCCACTGGACATGAGTTTTATTCAAGGCTGTGGTGCTGGCAATATGTTAACTGTATAGACTTTCAGGAAGAAAAAATCTAATAAATGTATAGAATTGAAAGAAATCATCCTCTATTTTGATATGTGTGTCCTATTATTATTCGTTCTTATTCATACTTCACATGAAAAACAATAGAACACAGAGCAGAGACATTTCAGCACACAATACCCCAAGAAAGTCGAAACACCACCAACAAAATGCTGAGGATCGTGTCCTACCACCAAAAGAGCTCAACCGTGTCAGGATATGGAGACAGAAACATATCTGAGAGTGTCCTAGAGTTTTCAGGATCTTTATCACAGGTGACATGGGTACTTTTTTCTTATTTGCTATCAATTTTAGGAAATACTGGTAGTAATTTGAAATATCAATTAATACTAAATTAAAAAAAGAATATTTAGATATAGCTTTCTCCCATCCCATAGGCTCCAGTCTACCTGCAGCCCCACCAGGAGGGAGCTTGTATGTAGCATGTAGATGGAAGGAGGGTTAGCTCAGGCTGGTTCAATGTCACAGCTGCAACACCTCTCTCTGGTAAGAAAACCTAAAGAAACTGCTGTGAAAATCAATTCACGGTGGCATTAACTTCTCCAGCTCCTCTCAGATCTCCCAATTCATATGCATGGTTTCATGTCTTTCCAGTGGGAGCGTTCAGCTTTATCTTCCTCTGTGAGGATTACATTACGTTGCATCATTCTCTCAGAATCTTTGGGTGAATAATGTCTACTTTCTCAACAACGTTGCTCTGTCAATTATCCCCCCCACCCCTGTACATGATGGCTATGCATTTTTTCTCTGGTGAGAAGTTTACATAAGATGACAGTTCACACACACACAGCTTCAGTAGGAATTGTGTTTAATGTGAACGCTAGGAGGAGCCCTCTCCACGTGACTGGCATCGAATTAATGTAGGGAAAAAATAAATAATCATATAAATAAAAACCCGAAAAAGAGAGAAATAATTAAGTGGATCTGTTTATTTAACACCGGGGGAGCAAAAGAAATCAAGGACAAACCCGGACTTGCTCCATAAAGAATAATGAAACAGTCACTCAGACGAGAGTTGATGGGTTCACAATCACATGGTTAAGAACCGAGGTCAAATGTTGCATTTCAAGCTTTTGTGCTTTCATTAGCTTTGTACGTGACCTTATTGTCAAAGTGGCATCACAGAAATGGGCGCTGATTTATGGGAATAAATTCCACATTTCGTGATATCTCAGATATTTTTTACATTAATTACATCACACTGCGGAGTCAAGGATAAACCTAAGATATTTTATGGGAAAATGGGCAAAACCAGACATTAAACAGACTAGACTGATTTATGTCCAGGACTATGTTTTATTAGAATGATCTGACTGCCTGTATTTACAAGTTACTGATGAAAGTCGTTTGATCGGTTGATCCCAACCTAACCTTTGAGGTTAGGTTAGGAATAGGTTGTGATTGAACCTTTCTCAGTCTGCATCTTCCTCCACATCTATCTATTCATTCCGTGCGGCAGACTGCTCAAACGTGAAGCGTCTCACACAAATTATGCAACAGCAGTAGGGATTCACAAGCGTCCCATTGGCCAGGAAGCGTCCCACCGAGGGGGGCGTGGTCGGACGTGAGCTACGTGACATTGGCTCCCACTCCACAGGGGGCGTGTCGCTTATTTCATTCATAAATCCACGACTATCCGACATGTGAAGAAAATGTTGCTGTGCCACGCCTCCGTGAGATGTGAGATGGAAGATGGAGCTTGAGCAGATTGAAATAAAGCAGTTGGTGTCTGGTCTCTCTGTATGTAGTGATTCATATTTATGGATATGTTGTTTCAGAGCGTTAGACATCATCATGCACGAGTAGTTTTATTCTAGGGATGGAATTTTTCCTTTCATATCGGTGCAGAATCTGTCGGTGGTGCTAAATCAGACACAGAAATACGTTGGAGAAGAGATGCAGGTTTAACGGCATGACGTAACTTGTGGGTTAATTTATGAAAATAGACATTCCCTCTTTTTTTTTATTTTTTTATATTACAGTCATAGCATGTACATTTTAATCCCACCCAATTTTTGTTCTTGTTTTACTTAATTGTTGGTCTGTGTGTTGTCCATAAATGTTTTTCTTATCTCGTAACAACTTGGACGAGATCATTTGCCCTGGGGATCAATAAAGTGCTTTTGAATCGTGAGTAAGCTATGCAGACTAGTGGATTTCCTGTGGTTTTAGCAGGGTGAAAAGGGATCCTGGCAGACAGGTGCCGAGAAGAGAGCACAAAGGGGCAGTTTGTAATTGTTTAAAGAGCTGCCCTGGTGTTCACGTGATATGTGATATGTTGGACAGACTCCTTAATGAAAAGGTTAACACCTTACTGTTTAGTGACTCTTTAGGAGCCTTTCTTCTCACAGACAGATATGGTTACTGTTGTGGTGACTTGCCCTTGTCGCACGTGCCTGAGCATTTGATCTTCTACATGCTTTCACACGTGGAGCTGTATACCTTCTGTTAAAAGTAAACCAGCTCTCGAACTCATTTCTGTATCTGTTCATAAAAGGAATAAAGTGGAAATAAAAAACTTGAATCATTATGAATGTGCTCTCATTTAGGGATGGAAATGTGCTAGATGAGTGAATGAAAAGGTGTGCATTCACTATTCAGCAGAATAGCTTTGATATCATCTGTGCAGAATTCAATTATTTTAGGAGCCATTTAGTTTCTGTACTAGAACCAATACAACTTGGTTTATTTTCATCCACATCATTTGAAGACTTAGGCTTGCCATGAACACCCTTGCTAGATTTTCCAGCATGTCAAAACAAGGAGAGATAATGAGAAAAAGCACGAGCAGGGAAAAAAAAGACCCACAGAAACAGGTGGGGGATGGGAATTGAAATCAGTTGGAATGGAGAAGGCATGATGGAAAGATGGAGAATGAATCTAGCACACATGAACTCAGAATAGGTTCAGAGGGTTCATTTGTTGCAGAGGAATCTTAAGGGGGATGGTAAGCCTTTCAAACCCGGCTCTATACGTATATACAAACAAGAATCTTTGCTGGGGTTCCTGTCACCAAAGGTTAACCATTATTGTCCTTTAACAGTCAAAGGAGGGTTCAGTTGTGTAAGGTTTAAATTCTCAAACAGATTTATGGTCAATCAAGCAAGGACTCTGGCTGCTCTGTGTTTGTTGAGGAGTGGGGTCAGTGAGTTAATGTGTAGGTTGGACGTATAGTGGGGGAAGGGCAGCTCCTCAGACATGACTGCAAAGTGAAAAACATGTCACATTGAAAACATGCCTGAAAAACGAGCATAAAATCTGACCTTTAGTTTAAATCTTATGGGGAGTGAAAATGCCAATATGGAATGAGTGTAGATCACATGATGTACGTGTTGGTGTGCTTATGTGTGTACGTGAGCTATACATCCTGGTGCCTATAGGCAAGAAGTGGTCATTGAGTTCATCCTCTAAGCTGGACTCGAGGGGCTGCATAAACACTGTTGATAATGACTATAGAAAGCATTTAACTGTGTTTTCTTTGATTTGTGATTTTAGTTGACCATCACTAAATAAACCAATCTAATGTAGATTGAATATATTGTGTGGCATTGAATAATTAAAATACACACAAAAATCTTTACATTTGTTGATGCAAAATACAACACTGAATTAGCAGAACAATAAAGCCTCCCAATGACACTACATCAAATCAAGACTTCAGAGGGAAAAAATAAGATGGAATAAGAGGTAGAATTCAGAAAGGCATGCATTGTCGACCAAACAAGGACAAAGCTTGCTATGTGTATGTGGAGGAGAGGGTGTCACTGAGTTCATGTGTTTGCTGTATGTATAGTGGGGGAAGGGTAGGTTCCTCATCCCTGACAGCAACACATGAGGCATTTCACATCGAAAACACACGTAAAAGCCAGCATGTGTAATGACCTTCAATTTCAAACTAATATGGAGGAAAAAATAAAGAGAAAAAGATATTGAATGAGGGATGAAGAGATTATGTGTGTGTAGGTTAGTGTGTGTGTGAATGTGAGATATACATGCTGGTACTTAGTGCAAAGCACGTTTAAAGCGGTGGTCATTGAGTTCACTCTATAGGCGTTGTTCATAACTAACCGTGAAAACAGACCGTGTCTGAATCACTTTGTTTGTCTTAGCTCAAATTTGTGTGTAAGAAGACTCAAAAACACGAAATAAATATCAGAAGCTTGAATGATAGAATAAAAAGACATTTTGAGACACAGAAGCTTCATTGACAGAAGAAAACAAGAGGATCTGTACAATTCTTGTATTGACTATAATAAGAGTCAAGATATGACAAAATGAGAGCATCAATTTGGAAAAACTTCAGATTTTGTTACCATAAATATCACATCTCTATAACAAAACAGAATAGAGCACCGAGCAGAAACATGTTTACTTCGCTCTTGAGGATTCTCATAACACATGTGGAAGAGGGGATGGGGGTTGTGTGTTGACAAGCCTTGTTTGCTGTGAAAATTGAATCCTCGCTGAAGCCAAACAGAGGAGTTTCTTAAGTTGCCTGGAGACGCTCTTGCCTTCTATGACAACACATGATGAGAATGACCTCGAGTAAGTGGCGCAAAGCTGGCTGAGCCAGTTGGAAAACGTGTCGGCGTTTATTTATATTTTCGAGGGATGGATGCAGGTGAGTCTCAAATCTGCTGTAGTTAGAGTTATAGAAACAGTTGCAACTGCATGCATTTGTTTGTTTTTTCTTTTGCTTGATTAAGCCTGCAATTTTGAAAAAAAAAACGTCGTCGAAACCCTTCTGATCACAGATCTACGCGGATTTATTCATTGAAACCAGTGATAGGTGTGTTAAATTGCGTAAGGGCTCTCGTTTCTCGGTGCGTTCACGCCGTGCATGGAGGGGATCCAACATATTCGATGGAAGGGGGCGGGGCTACACATTTCTGTATACATCCGAAGCATAGGGGAGAAATAGTGCATGTGCAGCGCGTGCGTGTGTTTACACTCGCCCGCTGTAGTAGAGCGGCGTTGTCAGACACCAGGCACACTGGCGACACATGAGTGGGCGGGGGATGCCTGGGCCGACGTCCAATCACCGGCTAGTAAGGCAATTACTGGCCAGAAGGCTTAGCCAATGGCGGGCGCCACTGGTGGGACCGGAGCCAATAGAATGAGCGCAGAGCGTAGGCACGTGCATCCACGCACATGTTGACGCTCGTAAACTGCCGAGAGAAAGAGCTAGCTCAGGCAGAGATCGATGAACGGCCGGGTGCTGAGCGTGTGTGAGAGCTGAGGCCGGACGCCCCGACGATGCTCCAGCCGCAGAGGGCGTACTGACAGACCCCCTAGTTTACGAGCAGGATAAAGTTCCGCTAGCTGGAGTTTTTATATACATATTTTTTTGGTTTTCATCGTTTGGCAGCTGCTATTTCGAATACCTGACGGTGAGTATTTAACCGTGTTTCGTGTTTTTGCAGCTAACGTTTCCCGAAGTTATCAGACTAGCCTGAAGGTATTTCCTGACCCCTCTACATCCCGTGTGCGCTGCCTTACGGCTCTCTAATGTGGAGGGGGAAAGCTTGTTTTTATTTTTAAATTCACATGATCCGCTTTGTGTTTTTTAAGGCTAGTTTTAGTCACGAGTTTAAATAGTTCTTATATTTGTTGACCAAAACATCGATACTTCGTGTTTTTTTTAAATCAATTGCTCCGTTGCCTCATCGACCAGACTCGGTTTAGATGTTTTTGATTAAACTAGATGTTGCCATTGTACTTTGTAAGTTTGCGATGAAATGTGGGGCGTGTAAGTTCCTGTCGTGAGCATCGGGATTCGGAGACAGACTGGTAGCCAACACCTGCCTCTCTACCTGAGCACAAACGCACCATCCCATCCTCTCAGACAAAAACACTGTGAAAACTGTTGACTTATTTAGTTTTTATTTAAAGAGATGAAAGAAGAGAGGGTGGCGGTTGGGCTACAGACGATTCAGTTTCCAAGCCCCAAGGCACATTTGACGTGGATGTAAACGCATCCTGTCTGTTATATAGGCACCAAACTAACAAAACATTATAAAATACATCAAACAGTATAAATAAACAATATCTAATATGGTTCTTCTGTTTGGACATAAAATAGCAGTATTTATTTTTCTCTGCTCTCCTTTTTGTGTGAATCAGTTAAGACTGTCATGCTGATAAAAGCTGTGGTGGTTTGTTTAGCAGATGAGTGGGTTTCCGTCGTTTCACCATATGTGTTTGCGGGATCAGAGAGCAGCAGGCACTGAGAGATTATACAGACTAAGAGAGAAGGGAAAGACAAACAAGGGAAAGACTCACAGCCAGAGACACCGAGTGTAAAATGCGAGAGGATGAGGAGGAGTGCTGTGTGGTAGTGGAAAGGAAGAGACGGGCACCGGGCGTGTGTGTATGACGAACAGGATGAGCTGAGGGCAGCACAGGGAGATATGAGAGGCATACAGAAATGCAGCCGTAGAGGAAAGAGGGTGGTTTGTGTGAATCCAAAGGGGGGGAAAGAGTGCAAGCCCTAGACAGGAGAGGGGAGGGGCTATAGAGAGCACCAGAGGCTGTGGTAGAGAGGAAGAGTGCCTATTCTGATTCCACTACTCTACAAGCTCCCATCCCCCTCACGTTTTACTCTTCTCCAGTCTCCTCAATGGGAGCCAGACATGTACCACTACCCCCAGTCCCACTCTGCACCATGTTAAACTAGGGCACTGGTATGCCCACCATTTTGTGGTGTGGTAATGATCATTTCTGCTAGACTGAAATAAAAAGTGAAGCATCGGCCCTCAATATGAATTTAACTGTCTGTCTTTTTAGTTATTGCTTTTGTTGTTTGTTTCTCTGAAAGCTAAATGTCTCTTCGTTGTAATTCTAACCCTCTGCTGCAGTCCCAACGAGAGATGCAGTCTCAAGGAAGCACTTCTACTCCACCCTCCTTTGATTCCCTGAGCTCCAGCGATAGCCTCGTGTTCAGCGACTCAGAGCAGGCGGAGGATGACACAGACATCTTTTTGACAGACAGCTCTCCCTCCATCCTCATCGATGGCACGTGCAAGCCATCGGCCAAGAAAGAAGTGGAATCGGAGAGCCCCAGGTCCCAGTGGACGTGTGACAGCCTCACGGATAAAGAGGATGAAGAGGAGAGGTACAGGTCAGAGAGGGAAGGCAAAACCGCCAGAGTCGCCCTGGCCGGGACAGATTCTACGACCCAGACTCCAAAATCAGAGGGAGATCTGTTGTTTGCTAAAAAGGTGATTATTTAGCATAAGAGAAGACACATGACATAGCATGGTGTGTTTGGAGGAAAGCTCAGCAAACTGCCTCAGACCGCAGGATCTGAGCAAAATCTTAATCTATCTTCTTTTCCTCTTCTGTTGTCAGTGTGCTGAGCTGCAAGGTTTTGTGAGGCCCCTGCTCGAGCTGCTGAATGGACTGAAGAAGGGCCGATTCGACCAGGGTAAGCATCCTTACATCACTGCCTCCAGCAAGCATGTGTGCACAGGTAAAGTTGTAGATGCTAAACATGGTCTGTAATCGAAGAGGCTGCTCCGTTGCACTAGTGAGTGTTCCACTGTGCAGGGTCTGTATTGATGCAGTAGAAAGGGCAGCGTGTTTGAGAAGACTGTCGCTGGGCTGAATCATTACTTCAGTTCAAATAAGCAACATCCTGTGTTAAAGTCATGCCTGTGCATGCGAGTGGGCCAGAACCTGTGCATGTCCACATGTGAATGCTGACTGGAGGATTATGTTTTGTGATTGGCAGGTTTAAGCAGTTTCCAGCAGAGCATTGCCATGGATCGCATCCAGAGGATCGTTGGGGTTTTGCAGAGACCTAACTGCGGGTAAGATGCAACTCGCATAGTTTCAGAGCCCACCCTTATTCTTACTGCACCATTTTCTCACCCAGTTCCTGCATCGCTCATGTTTGAAGAGAATCAGTAATCTGTGTAGGATGCCAGTAAAGTAGTCTAACAAGGCTGTTCTCCAGTTGCGTGATTTATTGAGCAGTCCTGTGTGTAGGCAGAGTTATAGGACTTATCAAAAGTCCAGTGCTGTTTTCAGAAGAAATGTTACCTTGACGTAAAGGCAGGATCTGTGTGAAATTTATATCTCCTTCCCAACGTCTTGTGTTTTAGAGAGAAGTACCTGAACACTCTGCTCCAGGTGGAGGTGATGCTAAAGCTTTGGTTTCCACAAGTCTCTACTCAGCCTGTGTCCACAGCCCCAGGCCACGCCATATCCCCCACCTGCTCCCTCTGGGACTCTTCCAGCTCCACCCCTCCACACAAACACAGGGATCAGTTACATATTCCCGTCAAGGTGAGAACGCAGGCTCGCCTGAGAGTCCAGGAATTTACCTGTACAGATCAACCTCCCCTCTCCCACACACACCAGCTGAACAGCATATTTGTGCCACTTTCTGTTTTCCAGAAGCGCAGGCTCAGCTGGACCAGTACGGACTCCCCAGCGCACTCCCCCGTACCTGTCAAGTGGCCCCGCAGCACCGAAGAGAGCAGGCATGATCAGGATGAAGGGGACTGCCCTCCCTGTTCTCCATCGCTGGCCTCTGATACCAGCCAACATTCAAGAAACACAAGTGACAGCCAGCTGAAAGATGAGGTGAAAGGAAAAGAAAGGAAGGAACCCAGTAAGCTATCAAGCTACCATGCGGGGCAAAGCTCTGAGCCAAGTTTGACGTGGGTGCACGTCGCTCCCATCCTGTCCCCAGGGAAAGCTTGCATTGTCAGCAAAGGGGCGGCAGTGGTGGGTAACGATGAATACATCGTCCCAACAACCAGGAGGAACAATCCAGCAACACAAGACAGCTCCGTCACGTCCACCACAACCTCCAAGCTCCCCAAGAATCAAAAGAAGCCACTCAGGTGTCAAAGCCAGCAGGTTGTCGGACAACAGGGCAAACAAGAGACCACTGAGACCTGTCAGGGTCAAAGCCAGCTTCCACTGGTCACAATTCAGCCTTTGCCCAGAGCGTGCCCCACCACCTCAGAAAAGGCAACGAGCCAGCAGCCCTGCTTTTCCTGAATGCTGCTTTGACACGAGGAACCATGTTTGATTATGAATGAATTTAAAAAAGAAAGTAAAAATTAGTTTGTGATATATATAGTGGATCAGACTTGAGCCTTTATCAGAGCGCAGGTGAAACAAATCTAATGAAAAGGATCTGATACGTTTCAGCTAATCAAATGTATCAAAGAACAGAAATCGAAGTTATATAATAACCCAGACACTGCACAAAAGTGGGTTTTTCTGAAGGGTAAAGGCGACGGGTTAGCTTCAGGGGAATGGGTATAATGGAGCTCCTCCCAGCATGAAAGCTAACAGTTCATTCAGACGGCTTTTCCAGCTTAACTCTACGGCCAGAGTATACTTGCTTCCTAGCCTCATGCTTTTATAGACAACTGGCTCCAATGTCAAGTCCGGTAGCCACAGGTTTTTCTGTTTATCGAGTCAGATCGCACAAACCCGTTGCAACATTTTTGCAACATTCAGATTAAAAAGGAAGTTATGACCGAAAAGGGAACAGCTGCAGCATGGGCCATTTTTGGATTTCTGTTCACATTTGCCCCTATGCTGCCTCTCCTGGACACTTCCATATTGCACCTCTTGCACACAGCATTAATTCCTGAAGACGTGCACAACCGACATGCAGGGTTTTATAAGCAAGTATACGTTTGGCCTCAATGAGTGAACTTTCAGATACACTGAAAATAGGCTAATCTGATGTCAGTGTTAAAATGGAAGCTTCCAATATTTGATTCAGTCCAGAGTGAACTGACTCTTGTCTTATGGCGGAGTTCGTGTTTGACATTCACCTGTAGATAGAAGCGAGGCATCCAGTGAAAGAAAAAAAGTGACACCCAAGTCTTTGGGAAGCTTGTGATGCGTCAGACGTCGGAGATGGGACGGGGTGGTGATGATGTCGCAACTCATGAATGTAATCCAAGAAATCTCTGGACGCTTGCCTGGCAGATCAGCGGCACTGAGGGGAGGGGACATCGCGCCGATCAGACCTAACAAAACTTTACTGTCGCACTGCAGATCAGACTTTTACTCCCGGTCTCCCGACTGCAAACTGAAAGACAATCAGGGTCAAGAAAATTCTGAGGGAGATGAGGCCGGTCACAGGGGAAAAAAACGAGGACCACTAAGATACGACTCTGGAGTCACCAGTTAATTTATTCACGTGTTGATCTGATGCTGCAGCTATTTATTGTTTGTATTTATTTATTGGGCAGCTGACTACCGCCTGCTGTGCACTTGCATAGTTTGGCGTACAGTTTGTTTTCATTTTTGGGTAGGGAAGATGCTGTTGACATTTAATTTGTGTGTTTTTTTTTGTTTTTTTTTACAATCACAAGGAGGAAAAACAAAATGAGAAGATGAAGTGTATTGTATGAACAATTGGACTACTGTGCCTTTTACCAAATAGGATGTGTTCAGAAGAATATTTGGTGCTTTGAGTGCATTCATACCTGTGTTTTGGTTGTTTACATTTCACAAAACCAGTACACATTCAATATGGAAAGCCTACATGTAGTCTTAATCATCTTCTTCTCAGATACACACGACATCAAAATCAACATGTTGTCAGCTCTCTGCTGCTTAAAAACCTTTGTCCAGCTCCAGAATCCTGACTTCTACTGTTTCCCGCACTACCCACATTTGAAAACAACAGTGGCTTCTACTTCTTCTTGAATTTTGAGTGTAAGCTTCTATTTTGGGCTTTTTCTTTTTGCTCTTATCAGTGAAAGAACAGACTGAACTTCAAGTGAAACTGGTGCTTTTTAAAAACTTGAAAACAAAAAGGAAGAAAAGAACCAGAAGACATAACCATTAAGGAGGACATTTATTTGTGCCAGCCTCCAGTGCTGCTACTGTTATTCTGATTCCAGCTCTAATGTGGAGGGTTAATGGAGAGCCCTCTCTTTATTTGGAAAGAATCCTCACAGTATTTTAACAATTCATGTAATTATTGTGGGGGTTTTAATACTTGGTGATTTGATTGACTTGTACATCAAAACTTATATTATTATATAAATATATTTTAAAAAATCTTACTGGTATTAATAGACCATCCTCTATTTGAGAGTGGGCATCCATATACCAGTCAATCCCAAAAAAACACCACATGTGAACACAGAGGAACTGGCAGCCATCCTGTTACCTCCCTTGTTTTTTGGAGTAGGGAATGTACGAACCCCTCCATCACAGATCCAGATGCTGACTCTGGATCGGAGGCTAGGGTTGTCTTCCACCATGCTCTCTTTTTTAAGTGGTGAACGGTTGAGGGATGACAGACGAACCAATTGCACTTATTTTATTTCCAGTCGTTTATGCTCTTGTATTCCACGTTGGATTTCTACTGCAGTGGCCGCTGAATGGTCACGAATAATGATGTCTTGTTTATTTTAGTTTCCTTCTTATTGCGTAGCAGAAGCTGGCTGTGAAAGCCCCCAAGCCCCCCACCCCACCCCCGTTTGGCCTCCCCTCCCCCACTCTGCTGCACTGGTATGCCCTTGCCCTCTCTCCTTCATCTCCCTCAATCCAGTTAGTACCTTTTCATTCTGAACAAAACTCTGTCTTTTCGACACTCCATCTTTACATGGTATTACTCTCTTGGCTCTTTTTCAATAATGAAACAACACGAGAGGAAAGAAATCTTTTAATAAATCACATTTTGAAAGTGGAACTGCTTCTGTGGATAATTTCCTACCTGGTTGACCCGTTTCGACACATGATTATTAGAACACCACCACCACTTCTTTTACGATGATGCTATAATGAGCTGGACTGCTTTTAGAACAAGGCTCCAGCTAAACAGATGTGAAATTCAAAGGGGGTGCAGATTTAGAGACTACATTTGATTTTGAAGTGTGCGTGAGAGTGGGTGGGTGGAGAGGCACGACAAGAGGAAGGAGGGGATGGTTAAAAGGAGGGGCTGGAGGATGTGAGACTACAGTCTCTAATCTGACTGAAAGTAGTCGGGGGTCTGGCTGATCCTCCAACCAGCTGCCACTGGAAATCCCAGGCATTGGTTTATATGTGGATTCATGTGAGTTGGTCATTAAGTTAGGGAGTAAGCACCCCCTGTGGGTTTGAGAACAGTCTGACTTTGTGGTGTCTCATGAGCATTCCTGATATCAGGAGAAAAAAAACATTGCTTTATCTCGAAACAGATCTTTGTATCCAGGATCATGATTTGAGTTTCTCCATAAAAAGTGAAAAACTTCAAAAAGAGCATTAGAAACTGCTCCTACGATGTGTTACCAAAAACAGAAAAGCTGATTATCCTTCCCAATCTTTTCAGCTGTTAGAAAACACACACACACACATACACACGATGCTGATAAAAACAAACAAATCTGGAGCTCTCTGACAGCAACATGGATCAATGCATTTTTTCTTCTTAATAATCTGCCAAAGTGTAAACAACAGAATGGTGAGGAACCATATAGTACAATCATATGTCAACAGAATCAATAGCAAAAGTTCTGGGGGAAAAAAACACAATCACACTGAAAGTCATTTAATAGAAAAAAACTCATTTGCAGGATCAAAACCTCTTTTTAATGAACATTTCTGGGCTTGCCACTGAGAAAGAGATGTATTGTAGTGATTAAATTTTAATGTAGTTTGAAGTTTATCTTTAGAAATAAAAAACAGATAAACCATTTTATATTAGTTTATTGCTATGATTTTAGCTATCAGATTTTTTCTTATAAAACGATACTCAGTCAATCACAGCAATGCTGGTTGTGTTTTAGACAGGATTCTTAAGAGTTTAATTATTACTCAAATAGATTAAATGTAGAAGAGGTTAAATCTAGGGGTTAATGATATCAATTAATTAACTCATGAAGGTTTCACTCCATAGAGAGAGACCTGTGATCTCCAGTGTCAGAGATCCGTCTGAGTGTGCCAGAAATGCTCTCCCAGAGGCTACAAGTCATTCAACACCATCTGGGAATCGCTGTTATCAACTTTTAGTATCGTCATAAAGAATTTTAACACTGATATCATAGTTTCCCAATGAGGAATGTTCTCAATGAGAGAGGTCACTTAAAAAAAGGAAAATAAGGACAATCATAAACTGATTTTTAATATGTCCTGACATCAATATCGTTTAAAAAGAGTAGCTCCGTAGAGTCTTAGAAGAAGACAAACTCATACAAATGATAACGAACATGAATAACGTGAAGTTGAAGTGTCTGACAGATAGAAGAAGCTTTCAAATGGCTCCGATAAATGTTTAAAGCTGCCATTGTCCCCAGACACTTTTTATTTTTCTATTGATTCCACGGAATGAGTTCATTTCTATCTGTACAAGCTCTGAACTGTGAACACTAAATTCAGGAGTGCAATGACTTAGTAGTAAATCAGAATAATAATGAACACATCTTTATTTTCATGTAGCC